AACTCCTATTTGATTTGCTATCTAAATACCCTGTAGAGCCGCCAATAATTCAGTCTTGACTGAGTCTCCTACTCCCACTGGACCAGAGTATAAGCTAAGATGTTGCTGTCCTTATCTCTCAAGACGACTCCTATGCCTGAGAGGCCAGGGTTTCCTTAACTGCTTCCATCAAAATTCAATTTTACCCAATCGTCAGACAATGGTGTCCAAAATACATTGACCTTTTCTTTCCTAGAGGAACTATTTGTCACTACTAACCAATTCCTCCAAAGGTCATCAAAGGAGAACAAGTGGAAAGAATCCAAAGTTTTCAGCTAGTGAACTGCCCTTGTTAAGATGCACTCCTTTTCATGGAAAATTCTTGCATTCCTTTCTTCCCACGGCTCTGATACATTTCCACATAATACTCCCTCTTTTGATGGACCATGCAAAGACCGATGAATCAAAAAGCAGACTTGTATCTGCAAGCTGGTTCCACCTACATCCAAACAAGGCAAAAATCCAATCCCAAATAGACAAAGCATAAGAGCAGGAAATTAGTAAGTGGAAGCAATCCTCACCATTAGCTTTGTAAAAAATACACCAATTAGGGGACAAGCACAAAAAAATAAAAAAATAAAAAATAATAAAAAGATTTTTTCTTCTACAAACAGTCCAAAGTTTTTCTTAAAGTACATAAAAACTTTCATTAAATCAGAAAAAGGTTACAACCTGATAGGTGGCAAGTCATCACCCAGATACACAACAGATTATAAATAAAAATTAAATTTTCCACATTACATATTTGAAAACCCAAAACCTCCCCCAACTTATTCCCCAAGTCCTTATCAATTTGCCTAAACTCTGGAAGAACCAAGATCCAATCTTCCACAGATCTGCTAAGAGCAGCTATCATCCTGTCCATACTACCAGCTTTATCCTCGAATATTCTTCTATTCCTCTCCTTCCATATGTTCCAGCATATTGCAAATGGAATGCAGCTCCATATCACCTTTGCCTTCTTGCTTCCACCCAGTCTAGGCCTTGTAGAGAAAATTTCTGCAGCTGAAGCTGGTTGAAAGCTAGTTACTCCAAACATAGCAGTAAATATTTTCCACATGAAGCCAGAGAACTTGCAGAAAATAGACAAATGTCTGACATTTTCTTCCTGCTCCTCACATAGACAGCATCTATTAGCCATTTGGAATCCTCTTGATTTCAGGTGATCAACTGTCCAACCACTATCCATGTCAAATCAGCAATGCCAAATCCTCAACACTTGGTGGAACCGGGTTTCCCCAAATACCTTTAATCTGATTTTAAATCTGTATTGGACCTGCTGAGAGCCAAGTAACATGGTTTGATTGAGAATCTTCCATTTTTACATTCTTTCCACCAAAGCTCATCCCTCTGTTGCTCTGAAATTTTCATACTTCCAGCAGAACAAAGTAATTTGAGGGGGAATAGGCCTAGTCCATAACTCCTTAACTGGAAAAAAACTGAGCAGAGGGAGAACAAAGGGCCTTAAAGAAGGAATGGGGAGACCAAATTCTTTTGTTTGGCTTTTAGGGGATCCAAATAAACACTATCTAGGACACGAAGAAGTTTTGTAACAACACCAAGTTCAGCATCCCTTAAACCCCTACAGAAACCAAAATCCCAATTCAAGGACAGAGGGGAAAGGGGGGAGGGAAGAAAGTGGGAGACAACTTTATGCTTAAACAAGGAAAAGGAATAGAATGAAAGGAAAAGGTCCTTGAGGGCTGAAGAACCCACCCAAACATCTCTCCAAAACAAAACAGAGTTCCTGAACAAGTATCATACCTGACAAAGTTAAGAAATTGGGGAAGGATATTGTGAATCGATTTCCAAGGAGTAGTCAAAGTAGCCCAACGAGACACACCAGTATCTCACCGTTTCTCCAAGCACTCATGAATACTAGCTATCACCTCAGACCATAACTTCTCTCTTATGGTGTCCAAAGTTTTCACTAGATTAAAAGGTGGGCTATTTGGGGTCGGGCCAAGCAAGAAGAAGTAGGGAGCTTCTGATCATGGTCAGTTCATTTAGGGTGTTGGTCTGTTGGCATGTGTTGGGTTTTGTTTTTTCCCATTTGGGATTGGTTTTGTCTTAAGATTGTTTATCCTTTTCTTTTAATTATTGAACTGAATTTGAATTGGATATTTGACTATTGAATCGAATCAA